AATTTGACCTGATACTGACTCATCAACGTTTTTATATATTTGACAGTATTGTGCATATAATGTATACAAATTTCGCATTCAAAAGTTCTGATTAATTCGACAAGGTGAGCTAGCTCTATTAGGATATGAGCATCGAACTCAATATTAATATGTATATTAATACAAACCCGCGTTTAATATTGGGTTTAAGAACTAACATATGGTTGATCCACAATATGGATACCCAACTCGATATGGATACTTTATTTTTCTTCGTTATCAATGGGGAATATTTGATAGAGAGATTTGAACTTGAAATCTTATAACTTGACTAAGAGCTAACTGGTAAATCAAAGGGGTCGTGTACTACCTTTTTTTTTTCTTTCTAGAAAACCTCGACGGTACAAGGAAAATTTTATTGATATCGAATAAAGGGTGCACCTAATCAAGGGTACATATACCTAATCTCTCATAATACAAGAAAAATGATATATAAAAAAAAACACATGAAAAGAAGGGGGGATATAAACCTTACCCTTCTAGAAAAAGAAATAAAAAACAAAGATACAAGGAAAAGAGGGGGGACATGAAACTTAACTCCTCTAAAGCCGAATCTAAAGATCTAAACTTGCAAAACAAAACAAGCACCATCACAAGGTTAAGAAAGAAAAAAAAGTGAGATAAACATGTAAGCCGATGTGCACATTAATTTGAGAAGCAGAAGCCAGGAAAGCTAACATAGTCTGAAAATAAAGCAGTACGAACCGCTACCATAGGAGAATCATGCCATACTAAAGTTGGAGAAGACAAGTTCATGTTAGAAAAATTAAGATTGTCGAGAGAGTTTTTATTGTATGAAACAACAGAAGAAACTTCCACCAACAAAAGTTGAACTCATGATCTTCGCTAACAAAGTAAAAACTAAACGCTATTAAGACGAAATGATCGTTTACAAAGCGGGGTTTTGTATGCCCGGACAATTTATTTTGAGCTAGAAACCCTACTACAGTTTTCTTTATAGAAACACTAAACTAGATTAACGTCCACATTTAACATCTTCTGTTACGTTAATACCAAGAAAATCATATTGTAATTATCAACTAAATTATTAGTTATGAAACAAAGAAAAGGTCAACTTCTGCCACATGTCTCGAATAATATTATTCGATCTAATAAAAACAAAAATTAGAATGTTTAGATGGTTTGATTTCATGGCCTCCATCTAACCCTGATTAGCACCACCACCACCACCGCTCCACCATCCAGTTTTGAGTTGTGCGCACGTAATTTTCGCTTCTTTTTATTTCTCTTCCAATCAATCTCTTTCTCTTCCTTCATATATTCATCACCTTCCACACCATTTTCTCATTTTCTGTAATTTTCTTATAAATTACGTACCTTTGGATTGGTTTACCCTTCCTTCAACTTTGGATTCAATCAAGGTACGTTATTCTTTTTGTTCCTACAAATTTACTCTTTCCGATCATGATCATATATTCCTTACGCCATATGCTTTCCTTTTGTTTTTGCTTGCAATCTTGGTTTTTAGATAGTGGAAGAATTTTTGTGAATGTTGACTATAATATGTTTTCAATTGTCAATGTTGTATTTGTTTGGTAACTAGGGTTGAGCATGGTTTGGGTTGGCCAGATTCGGACGGTGAATCCATTTTATCGATAAGCCAGCTTGTTTGGTAATTAGGGTTGAGCACAATTCGTATTTGTTTGATGAATGTTATGTGTTTGTATTAGTGTCTGGCGCAATATTTTCAATTGGTTGCCATTTATACGATCTGAGGTCTTAAAACAAACCAACCAAAAACCATATGAGATTTGTTTAGGCAATCAAATTAGGTAGCGTTTCTAAATGAAATGGTAATACATGCACCGGTTACAGAAAACATGTGGTTCCTTTAACAAAACAAATTAAAGAAGGAAAACAAGAAGTGGTTCATAAGAAAAGAGCATAGACCTAAGAAAAATGCATGACAAACAGGAACGGGAGAATCAACAAAGACATGTTAGCCCACACACTTAGCCAAAACAAAAACGTTCTCTCATTGAATGATTGGAGAATGTCATTCACGGTATAACACGAGTACATTATCACCGTGATATCTTATCACACAAGTATATTACCATCGTGATATTTCATGGTGGCATACACTGGGAAGAAAAACTTATATATAAACATTGACAATGTATCCGTGCTAAAAATTAATGCTATCAAACCAAATATGAGAGTAGGACCCATCTGAATTCAGCCCCATTGGTAACGTTTATATATGGACCCGGATTAATCATACGTTCTTCCCCATGAAAGGTCCAGCGCTTAGATTCATATTTGATGCAGTACGATTTGGTCCAGGCTTAGGTGAGCCTGAACTGCATGTTTATTTGCTACGTGGGTCACAACAGTAAATGACATTAAACATCTAAGGGGGGTGATGGGCCATTCAGGCCCATTTCTATCATTTCTTGGGATACAAGTATTTAATTACGACAATGCGTAACACGATGTAGCGTTAGATATTGAGTTAAGTGTTGCCTATTCAAAGATGTTAAAAATTTGATACCTATTAGCTCTATTTTCTCTTTCTTCTGATGAGGATCTGTTATGCTGTTTGAAGACTTTATGATGTTAAATTGAAAGACATTATATTGTGAATTAAGTTTTCTTAATAACATAATCGATTTTTCTTAAACCCTTATTACAATAGTAAATGTTTGGACATACTTATAATCAGTCTTGTGTTTAATTTAAAAATTTTCCTGCTGTTATTCATGAATTACAATTTAATATGTATGATTTTAAGATCCGACATGGTTTTTCTTTGTAATGTTTTTCAGTTTTTAGTTTTTAAGTGCGTCTTAATACTCATTTCTAACTTTTGTTTTCTTTAGATAATGCAGGGAGGTAGTAGTAGCATCTGAAACTTCTCATCTCGATATATCCGTAAATTGAATTGTCGATCTTTAAAACCTTGTATACATGGCAACAAGATCTAAAGATAGTAGCCCTACTCCAGGGAGGGAGAAGAAGAGCACATCATCCCCATCAACCACCAAAAGGCTCGCCAAGTCCCGAACTACAGTCACTGAAAAATCCTTGTCAACCTCATCAGCAAAACAAGTCCCAAACTATCTCAGGCCGACGTTAAGCGCCTCGAGGCATGAAAATTCGCTGAGGTCATCGTCCGCCGGTGCCAAGAAACATGGCCCTGAAGATCATGCAGCATCTCAAAACCCTACATTGAATAGAAGAAGATCTTTTGACAAGCCACCATCAGCTTCTAGGATTCAGAAGGCATTGATCTCCCCGGGAAGGGACGCGCCACTGCGATCGTCGTCATTTTCAGCGAAAATCTCCTCTAATGCTCCGAGACCAAGAATAGAGAGGACGAAATCGAGCACTTTTGGGTCTGGAAAGCCGCAGCTTTTGCCTGCAAAGAGTGTGAAGAAGAGCAGCACAAGCAGTTCGGTTAAGAAGGAGAGTTCATCGGGTTCAACAAGAGCTCCGAAGAGCAAGGACATAACGCATACACTTAATCTCGAAGTGAACTTAGATGCTATTGTGTCTTTGGAACATCATGAGGTTGAAGAGGTAGGAAAGATTTCGACTGAGGAGCATGATAAAGTGATTCTTCCGGATCCAAAAGGCGAAGAGAGTGAGCACTTTGGTGATCATGATGCTGGTGTTTCTGAGGCTGAAGCAAATAGTGGTGAGGATGAGAAGGTGAAGGCTAGTGAGGGTTCAAATGGTAATACGGAGGAATTGAAGGAAAATGTGGAGGAAAGAAACAAAGAAAGTGGAAGTGTATTGACCGAAAAAGAAGAGAAGCCGGGGGATAATGATCAACAAGACGGGGAAGAGAATGCAAAAAAAATAGATGAGAGCGGCGAGATAAAGGAGGAAGAGGGTGTGGCAAGTGAAGATCAGGAAACAAAAGTTGAGATGAAAGAAGAACAGGAAAAAGAGAGTGATAGTAAAGAAGAAAATGAAGGGGAGGAAAGAAAAAATGTTGAGGAAAAGGCATTGGATGAGAAGGAAAGAGAAGTGGTTGTGGATGGTGGAGTTGAGGAAGTAAAGCCAACGGAGGCAGGAGAGGCGGCTGTTGAGGTGGCAGAGGAAACACCAAAGCCGCGACAAGTGAGCGGGGGATCTTCACAAGGAGGAGGGAAGAAAGACTCAGCTCCTGCATACAATGATGTGATTGAAGAGACTACAAACAAGTTGATGGAGAAAAGGAAGAACAAGGTGAAGGCATTGGTTGGGGCCTTTGAGACTGTCATAGATTATGAATCCAAATGATAAACCCTAATTTCATAATATGATGCTGTAAAAACTCTGTACATTTGACACATAGTTTGACATGCTGTGGTGAAGTCAGGTCAAAAGAATTGAGAAGAGAAAAATAGTTGGACTGGATTGAAATGCAAGAAAGATGGGGAGGGTGTAATTGGGACTTTAATATTTTCTCTGCATGAATTTGTTCATTTTTACCTGTATTATGATATACCATACACTTGTACATTAGTTATTATTATTTTATTTTTTTAGTTTTTAGCTCAAGTTTATTGACTCCACTTTTCCTCACTTTCTTACTCTGGTGTAACCTTACGTCCATTCTTTGATGTGAAACTTACAAAATTATTGTACAAAACATTTTGAAACAACCAATGAGTGTCTGCCACGTGTCATTTGAAATTGAAATGTGTGCTATGGTTATTCATATCACACAAAATTATTTTCTCCACCAACAAAAATGTAAGAAAAAATCTGCAAATTTTTCATAGATGAGTAATTGTATATATATTTGTAAAATATATGATATATCAAATACAGAACTGAATTATTGTATCCAATAACCACCAACAATTTTATTATTCAAATATGGAATAAAAAAAAATTGAATCCAAACAAGAACAAATAAATAAATGAACTTTTTCTATATATAAGATATTTTCTTGGTGCCTAAATATAGGCCGGTCACCCTTCTGTCTCAAGCTAGCTAATATCCTCTAAAAATTATCCCGTCTGCAGTACCTTAGCTGCAAAGAAACTTGTCTCTCAAACATCAGCTGCCGGTGAAAATTCGCTATGAAAACATCAGCCCTGCGATCGACATCACCATCATCACCATTGTGATCATCCAAAGACTGATCCTTCGGAGGATCACGGGTCCTTGTGCTTTGAACCCTTCTCAAACTGCGTTGATTCCCATCAGTACTAGTATTTTCATCTTCAATGCAGCTGTACAGCCCCAACCGGTCATTGAAGCTCAAACAATGCCTCGTAGAAGCTCGAGAAGAGCAGCAACCGAGGATCGAAGCCAAGCGCAATCGGTTTAATTTGAAGCTGAGTAGAACTAGGTTGATTTTGTTCACCGCCCTCTTGAGGCTGCGGCTTACGAGTGTCAAGGTTTCCCTAGCCATTGCTAGCTAATGGTGTTGAAGTGAGAAAGTTACGGAAAATGTGAGCTTGGTTTTATAGACAAGTACGAGAGAAGATTGTGAGCAAGCTAACTGCTAATGTGGTCACTTGAAAGCGTGTTGGGAAACTATTTGGGCATGTTTGAACGTGAAGGCTGCAGTTTACAGCTATTTTTAATGGATTTTTAGTGAGGAATTACAACTATTACAACTATGTGATTTGTGTTTTTGTTACATGGGAGGTGTGACAGAGCTTGTGTGTTTCTTCTGTTCTTTTTGGTTGTTTGCCAATCAAGAAGAAGAAAGGTTGTCGTGGGGCCCACCACTTTGCTAATTGAGTCTTGCACTACAAGAAATTGAAGGGTTTATGTTGGCTAAGGCCTAACTGGTGGTCGCTTAACTGGTGGTCGCTTAACTGCTCTAAATTTTGAAGTTACTACAGGAGGTTTGAATTGCAATTGATTTGAAATAGTTAACTCTTCAAATGCTAAGAGGGGTTATAAAATTAAACAAAATAGCCAGGTTAGATGAGTTCGTTTTTGCTCACCGCTTTAATACGGTGTACCTTTTATTTTTTCTCACTATTGTCCACGTATAACATTTTTTATGTTTTTGCACACACAAAATTGACACGCTTGTTGATATTATTTAACAGGTGAGTTCCACACATAATAATAGGGCCCACATGTATTAGAGAGCATTAAAGTTTTTTTGTGTCTAACTAACATTTAATCGACCCCCCCCCCCCCTACTCCACCTCTCCTAAGTTTTGTGCATATCCCCTTAAAGACTTGTGCTTTAGAGGTTTGTTAAAAAGGCATTCATGTCCTGTTTTTCTTAAAAGTCATGTTACTTTTTGAATTGGCGTTTCTTGTGTTCAACGTCAACCAAATAAAGAAAAACAGAACATGAGCACTACCTTGAGCTGAAAGAAACACGAAAACATGAGGACATAAAAAACAGAACAGACGAGAGACGAGTTCTAAAGTGCATCATGGTTTAATTTAATTTTCCTTGATGTAATGATAAAACAGGGGGGCTCGATCGAGAGCAGATTACAGAAATGATTTCGTGCAAAACTCTGTTTGAACTTACAGAAATGATTTCGTGAAACCAACACGAATGTCATATGAATTTCCATGATCAGAAAACATGAACAAGCTCGGCTACTGCTAGAATTTCTCTCTAAAAAACCCGAAGAGAAACAAAACTCTGAAAAATGGGGTGTAGCTGACCAAAACCGAGAACATCCAAAAAGCTGGTTTAAGAGTTCTAAACTCAGGAGTTTGCGACCAACTGCTCAGGAACATCAACATGAGAGATTCCTACCTCGACCTTTGCGTCTATGACATCAGCTACTTGTTTGTTCGCTCCATCCTCGATCTGTTTTAGTTTCTTCGACCAACCATACATTTGTCTCTTGACTTCCCTCTCATCTATTTTTAGGTTTTTGAATCCCTGTTCCAAGTTGGCTTCGGGTTCAGCTTCAGGTTTAATAAACGCAACTTGCCTGTGCCCAACATCCTCATATAGCTTTTCAATTCTGGCTTTCCAGACAAGGCCCATTTCCGTATCCATCTTTTGGTAAGGAGTTTTCAGAAAATACTCATCAATCCCACCTGCCTTGTCTACGCAACGGAGAGCATGGGTAGTGACTTTGACTCGAATGTGGCGGTCTAGGATGTAACTGAAGAGCCGCTTCTCCTGCACATTTGGTTTCCATGTCCTCCTCGACCTGTCACCACCAACAAAGGAAAGTTTTGGTGGTTAATATAACCCATTCCGACAACTCAATTAAAAGATTACACAACCAGATGATTCAAAATTGCAGTCACATAAGTCACCCCTGTTCTATAAGTTGCACGTTATATACTCGGTTCTGGTGGTTAATAACTAAACATATCCCGTTCCCATCAACACATTAAAAGATAACAGAACCAAATCATTCCAAACCTAGAGTGATCTAAGTCAGCCCTGTTTTATAAATTCGAATACACTCGGAGAATCTGTATGCTATGCCAAATTCTTAAAGGAAACCCAACCCATAACTTTTGAGGCAGCTCAGGCCTCAGCTGAAATAGCTCTGAGAATACAATTAAAACCGCGAAAACGGTTCAAATGGTAACACAAATCCATAGCTTTCATAATTTCAACTTCAAAGAAAATGTTCGAAAGTATACAATGTAAGACATCCAAAAGAGAAACAACCCCGATAACTAAAACGAAGTTAAATCAAAGTCACTGATCAAGCCCAAAATTATACACATTTCATATAATTTTTACAATTTTCTTTGTCATTGTCAAAAATTAGAGCACAAATTTATTTCTAAAGCTCAAACCTTTGGCATTAAATTGAAAAACGAAAGAGAAATTGAGGAAATAAACGCGTACTTGTTGCCGCCGTCTTCGCTGATTTGGTTGCCGAACTGGATGTGGCGGCCGGCGTAGATGCCGCGCTTGGCCCGACCCATGATGATATTCGAATCGGGTATGCCTTTCTTCTTGAGCTCCTCTCTCAATCGGGTGGGTAGAGTTTTGCTTCCCATGGTGCCTTTCTTCTTCAGCTCCTCCTTCAGCCGCGGCGTTAGGGTTTTGTCGCTGAACTTCTTCATCACGCTCTTGATCGTCTCCTTCCCCCTCACCGACGCCATTTCTGATCCACTGTGTGTTCGATTCCTAATTCCTAGGGTTTTGCGGTAGCGATTGAGGGTTCAGACTGTTCAGTTCATTTCCTATGTTTTCTGATATTTCCAACGCGCTGCGTTTTGGGAAGCAATAAGCACTGCAGGTGCAACTTTAATCTATGTGTGTGTTGGTTTCCAATATTCCATCAACGGCTCTAATGATTTGATTATTTGATAACCCTTGATTGAGTTGATTCCATAATAAAGGGAATTCTTTCTCAAAACACTTTCAACTTATAGAAATTCATATTTATAATTAGATCCGTTTATATTAATTTTTAACATTAATAACGCTGAATTTTTTGACAAAAAAAAAAATGCTGAATCTTGTATATCTACCATAAAATGTTTGGGTGTTCCTCAAAATGGCCATGATTTTTTTATTACAAAAGATATTATCAACAACAAAGAGGTGAATAAGTGGGATAAGCCTCACAACGTGCTAGTAATAATGTAATTCAAATTCATATTTGGTGAGAATCAAACCTAATAATTCTTATTTACGAGTGAAAAAAAATATTATTATACCGTAATACTAAGTAATAATAAAAAAATATCTTTTGAACAACTTATCTTTTTCTAAATACTTGATTATGATGAATTCCAAAAGATGCGGTTAGTTTAATTCTGTTCTGGGCTTTTACAGCTATTCCCACTTCGGCCTAGCATGGCCCAATTTATATTTTAGAGAAAATTGAATATTTGTTTTTTTATACGATGAAGAATGAAAATCAAAATTATAAGAGGATTGTAGATCAACTTGTTCTCTTGTACTAGAGATTTCGAATCTGAATATTATTCCGACTTGTTCTCTTAACCAAATAATAAGATTTAAGTTCAATGATGAAGTGTACAATTGTGAGAGTGACTACTATTTATACTAAACAATCTTAATGAATTTCCGATTAAAATCACCCAACTAACCCTTCCATCAGTCATGCCAATAACTTTTCACAAAAGCCCTAAAAGTTTATTTCGAAGATCAAAGAAAACCAATGTAGGAATCTTACATATATGGAATTCCAGTCAAATTATGAGTGGTAAGTTTTACGATTCAAACAAAGTTTCAAAGTTTCAATCCTAAACTAGTTAGGACAACTTAAAACTATTCAAACAGACTTTTCCATACCAATTTGATACACAATAGTCAGTCTCTAGCACTCACAATAATACTCATACACTAACGTGTTTAAATACTTGTTGTATATAATATAGGCACAAAGAATTACATATTCATGTACTTAAGAAATCGTTAGCTTTCTGGACTAGGTTTGTATGTTTTGTTCATATTTTATATATATGCTTCACTTTTATTTCTTTAGCAAACTCTTTAGCCTTTTTCCATCAGCAAAGCTTGAACAAAGGGTTAGGGTTTTACTAAAAGTAGGATATTCCGTACGTTTTTTTTTTTAATTCTGCACTTTATGTTGCTATTTGCAGGTGATTCAAAGCTAGCGCAGGAACTATCTGCCCTAACATAGTGAAGCGGATTGTGCCAATATTGGCTGTGGTTTCAACTATATTTGGAATATTTTCTGGCATTGCTTCAATTCACAGGGTGCGTACGTACGTAGATCGCATAATTTTGGTCCATGTTTGTATTTGCATAAGTTATACCAGGAGAGAGCGTGGCTAATCAACATCGCTTGTTGGTGATGGATGTACATATCAAAAGAGTGAGAAAAAAGAACAAGACTTGGAAGTGCCCAAGGACTAGATGGTGGAATCTAAAAGAAGAAAAACAAGTCATTTTCAAAGAGAAAGTAATCACTCAGTGTGTGTGGGATAGAGAGGGGGAAGCTAGCCAAATGTGGGATTCCATGGCTAGTTGTATTCGAAAAGTAGCAAAAGATGTATTAGGAGAGTCCAAGGGCTTTGCCACACACCAAAAGGAATCTTGGTGGTGGAATGAGGAGGTACAAACAAAGGTGAAGGCTAAGAAGGAATGTTGTAAAGCCTTATACAAGGATAGGACCGATGAAAATGGTGAAAGGTATAGAAAAGCGAAGCAAGAGGCGAAGAAAGCTGTGAGAGAAGCTAAGTTAGCGGCTTATGACGATATGTATAAGCGACTAGATACCAAAGAAGGAGAGTTGGATATCTATAAACTAGCTAGAGCAAGGGAAAAGAAGACAAGGGACCTAAACCAAGTGAGGTGCATCAAGGATGAGGATGGAAAGGTTCTTGCTACATAGAACGCGGTTAAAGATAGATGGAGAGGTTATTTTCATAATCTTTTCAATGAAGGACATGAAAGGAGTGCTTCTTTAGGGGAGTTGAGTAACTCAGAAGAGTGTAGAAACTACTATTTTTATCGTCGAATCCGGAAGGAAGAAGTGGTTGTAGCTTTGAAGAAGATGAAGCATAGAAAAGCAGTAGGCCCAAACGATATATCAATCGAAGTGTGGAAAGTTTTGGGAGAGACAGGTATAACATGGCTCACTGACCTTTTCAATAGGATTTTGAAAACGAAAAAGATGCCAAATGAGTGGCGAACGAGCACTTTGGTGCCTATCTACAAGAATAAGGGCGACGTACAAAATTGCATGAACTATAGGAGAATTAAGCTAATGAGTCATACAATGAAGCTTTGGAAGAGAGTCATTGAGCATAGATTGAGGCAAGAGACACGGGTTTCGGACAACCAATTCCGGTTCATGCCAGGGCGCTCAACCATGGAGGCAATCTATCTCTTACGAAGATTGATGGAAAAATATAGAGATGGGAAAAAGGATTTACACATGGTCTTTATAGATTTGGAAAAAGCGTATGATAGGGTCCCAAGAGACATTATTTGGAGGATTTTAGAGAAGAAATGAGTACGAGTAGCATATATCCAAGCTATAAAGGATATGTATGAAGGAGCAAAGACTGCCGTAAGAACTCATGAAGGACAAACCGAAAGCTTTCCCATAACTGTAGGATTACATCAAGGCTCATCCTTAAGTCCTTACCTTTTTGCGTTGGTAATGGATGAGTTAACATGACATATTCAAGATGATATTCCTTGGTGTATGCTTTTCGCAGACGATATAGTGTTGATAGATGAAACTCAGGAAGGGGTAAATGCAAAGCTTAACATTTGGAGATAAGTGTTGGAATCTAAAGGTCTTCGCCTAAGCCGATCAAAGACAGAATATATGGAGTGCAAGTTCAGTGCAAATGGAGGCCAAAACGAGTTAGGGGTGAGGATCGGAGATCAAGAAATACCAAAGAGCGATCGTTTTCGTTACCTAGGATCTATCTTGCAAAAGAACGGAGAATTATATGGAGATCTCAACCATAGAATACAAGTTGGATGGATGAAGTGGAAGAGTGCATCCGGCGTGTTGTGTGACCGCCGTATGCCACTGAAGCTCAAGGGAAAATTTTATAGGACGGCAATAAGGCCGGCGATGCTGTATGGCACAGAATGTTGGGCGGTGAAGCATCAACACGTACACAAAATGGGTGTAGCGGAGATGAGGATGCTTCGTTGGATGTGTGGGCACACAAGAAAGGATAAGATTAGGAATGAGGATATCCGAGGTAAAGTAGGAGTAGCCGAAATTGAAGGAAAGATGAGAGAAAATCGGTTACGGTGGTTTGGACATGTGCAAAGAAGGCCTACTGACGCTCCGATTAGAAGATGCGACTATGGGACAGAGGTTCAGGGCCGAAGGGGTAGAGGAAGACCTAGGAAAACTTTGGAAGAGACTCTAAGAAAAAACTTAGAGTACTTGGATCTAACGGAGGACATGACACAGGACCGAGCACAATGGCGTTCAAAGATTCATATAGCCGATCCCACTCAGTGACTTGGATTTTCCAAGTCTCCAACCGAGAAGTTTTCCTCACTCGGAAAATTAAGGGAATACTACCTCAACCTACATGCTCCACTCACAAAGCTTCAACATACAAGCTTCAACAAAAGAAAATTCAGAGAACTTAGCGAAGAAGGCTTTGGTGTATTTAACACAATACGTTGAAATGAAGGAAAGCTATTTATTGATATCCCCGATAAGTCACAAATATGTACATATACATGAGTCAAAATAAACAAACAAGAGGGAGCCTTCACAAAGGTTTCTTAGGAGAAGTCTCAGCAGTCAGTAGAGCCCCAGAAAGAGCAAGCACTGGAGGGGGATCATTTGGAGCCTTAGTACTGGACAGAACCCTAGAAGGAGGAGGCAGCAGAGGTTGATCATTTGGAGCTTCATTACGCGGTACAGCCCCAGAAGACGAAGGCAATAAATGCCTTTGGAATAAACCCACAAATCTCTGATGATCAAGTAAAACCTGACCATCAGATTCATTCATCTGGTCAAGCTTCCTCTTCATGTTTGTAGCATAGTCATGTGCGAGCCGGTGCAACTGTTTATTCTCATGCTTGAGCCCTCTAATCTCCTGTTTGAGACTCATCACTTCAGCCGCCAATGATTCAACTTGGCGGGTTCGAGCAAATAGGCGTTGGGCCATGTTAGACACAGAACCTGCACACTGAACACTGAGAGCCAGAGAATCCTTAACAGCCAACTCATCAGACCGTTTGGAAAGTAGTCTGTTATCTTTGGGAGTGAGAAGGTTCATGGCCACTACCGCAGCGGTCATATCATTCTTCATCACGGAATCCCCAACGGTAAGAGGACCAGTAGGGGAGACGAAGGATGGGCGCCATATGTTGTCTGGAGAAGGCGTGACTGCCTCTTCAACAAGGTTCAAGTCAAAACGACGGTCGGAGTGGTCAAACATTTTCAAAGGTGTTGAAGAGAGAAGAGGTCGGACAAATCAAGATCTTAGAAGTGCAAGAATGGAGCTTCTACTGGTGGAGATTCAAGTGTGCTTTGGAACTTAATGCCAGCCTCTATAAAAATCTGCATTCGACGGAGCTTCAGAAATTGAAGAGGCGTTTGCTTTCTCAAAAGCTGGGCTGCTCAGAGACCACGAGACGTTTGCTTTCTCAAAAGTTGGGCTGCTCAAAGACCACGAAGGCCGATCTCAGAAATCGAAGAGGCGCTTGCTTTCTCAAAAGTTGGGCTGCTCATAGTCCACGAGGGCCGATCTCAGAAATCGAAGAGGCACCTACTTTTCCAGCCTTGTCAGCACCTGTCAGCTTTGCG